CTGCTCGAGTTCCAAACCATGCTGTACAAGATCCCAGCCCTGGAGCAGCTCCCTGCCCACTGCGTGGCCTGCCAGTGCTGCTGGAGCTGGTCTCCATGGAAACCCTGGCCCCATACTAGGTCTCCATGGAAACCAGCTGCAGGGATGTTGTCAGGGGTTGCTGGGAAATGGAGTCCACCACGGGCCAGACTTTGCCTGCCCGTGTTATAGCCGTTACTTTTGTCAACAGAACATCTGCAAAACTGACCTCAATGTCTTTATGAAGGTAAGATGGTCTTTAAAAATCCATTGCTTCTCAAATCGAAATAGAATGTGAGAAGCATATAAAATAACTATGGTATTAGACTACTTGAGAACTTGGGTCTACTTAACCAGCAGATGCAGCCTCTAGTGGGCGGGTTTTTCTAGCAGCTGTTCATTCCTGGACTTTCTTTGTGCTACTGTCTCTATTTCTCATGTTCTTGTATCTAGTAATGTTCTCAACACTGTACAGAATGCACTTCAGCTGTAACTTATTTTTTGCCCTAACAATTTCATAATGCAGTGTTTTCTGAATAGTTTTGGTGTCAGTAAGCACCTGCTTGGCTAAAAGAATCTTAGAGGATCAAGGCAGTAATAGTCAGAGGGCCAGAAATATTTGACCAGGCTTTTTTTTTTTTTGGCTTTAGTGGAGACTCTGTGCAAGTGATATATCCAAACAAATCAGAAGATTGTTTGAGTTTTCTGCTCTTCAGCATGGCTATTAAATGTCATAAAATGTGTCTCCTTTCTTTTATTAGTAAAAAGCTCATGGATTTTCTGTGTGTAAAAACTTAAAACTCCCATAATCCATATAGTTTAAATGATAAAAAAGGTTGTTATGGATGAAATCTTATGTGCACAATTTAAAAATTCAGTTATGATTATTGCTTCAATTGTAGATAAGTTTTATATTGTTCACATGCAGTTCTAATAAAGAAACTTCCATTTTGTTGTTTAAAATAAAACTTGAAAAATATGTTGTCTTTTTTTTTCCAATGTGAAATAGTAACATTTGTCTTTATTAGTTATCATTGTAGATCCACCTTTTTGGTTAGGAGGAAAGAATCTGTTTTGCTTAGGAATTTATAAAGCAGCCCATCCTGTTTTATCTCGATGCTAAATACCACATCTCCTGTACATTAATTTAATCTAACATGAATAATTTATTGACATTTCAGCAGTAAGGCCATTGAGCGGCTTGTCAAGGATTACCAGAGAGCAGGGTGATTTATGCTCTTACTTTTTGTTCCTTCCTACCAATGTGCAATCTAACAACTTTCAGGAAATTCTGCAGTTTAGAGCATGCACAAAGTAGTGCTACAACATCTTACTGCATTAACCTGCAATGGAGGCTGGAAACTGTATGATCTTTAATTAGCAAGAGATCTTGTTAAATACCAATATCAATGCCAGCTGGTTAGTGTGGGAGAATCAAACTGGCTTTATCTATCAATCAGGGTAAAGATTTTTTTTTTTAACTCACATAACAAAATTTGCTATAGACAACTATATTTGGTCTTGGTTGGCACATCTTTAAATAAGGAAATCATCTGGCATTCAGAAATAGTATTTCTTAATGAAAAGATCAAATAATGGCACTACTGTTGAAGTCCAAAGTTGCTTGAAATTCAACATTGAAAAAAGTGAAGTGCTCCACCTTGGGAGGAGCAACCCCCAACACACCTGCAGGCTTCGCGGCACCAAACTGACCAGCACCACAAATGAAAGGGACCTGGGGGTAATAATAGACCACAGTATGAATATGAGCTGGTAGTGGGATGCTGTAGCCAGTAGGGCAAATAATGCTCTGGCATGCATCAACCAGTTGCCGACCAGGGGGGTCCCCTAGCAGCCAATCACTTCCGCCAGCACTTCCGGTTTCACTGCTCATGCTTCCAGGGGATGCATAGCCGATCTCAGGGGGTCCTCTACGTGTCGCCAATTATTGGTTTAATTTAAAAACTTAAAATTATTGTAATATGTTCTATTCAAAGTGTATAGGAGCACAAATACTCCAGAATGACCAAACTTTTCATTTCTACCTTCATCTCGAGTCCTAGAATGCTTTTTTTCTGTTGTGGTGGTTCTGAAACTTTTCCATAATGTGAACTTCACATTAATACAGGGATTTTTTGTGACACCTCTGATTCTCAATGGTATAGGCTAGCTTGTTTTTTTTTTCCTCTTTCAGAATCGCATCACAGAGGCTCCATGACCCTTTGTAGAAAGCTAGAACTAAATTTTGTGTCAATTCTGTATCTGTTCTGTGGCACCATGGTGCAACAAACTGGAAATTATACTGCTGCTCCATTTTCATTAAAAATAGTTTAAATTACATTATTCCTCTTACTTTGATTTAGTAGTTCCTGTCACTCCTCCCTATGTGAGAACAACAAAAAATATACATAATGTCAAATTAAGATTTTTATTTATTTATTTATTTTTAGTTTTCAGTAGGCTGTAGATTTTTTTTTTTAAAATAAACATTACTATGTAGCTGTTCCCAAGGAATAGCTTGGGATTGTGAGGAGGGTAATAGTGCTATTGGGACTTTTTACATGAGAAGATACTGCAGCCATTTTTTTTTTTTTTTTTGTGAGATAAATGCACAGTATGCCTGAGTGTCAGTTACAATAAGATGACTCCACAGTGGTCTTTGTGTACATGAGAATTAGGCCCATTTGGATGTTCCCGCTAAAATATTCAGTATGTAATGAAATGGTTAACAATATTGACACTTACATTGTCATCAGTAGGTCACTGAATTCACATTACGAACATGAATGGGGCAGTTCAGATTCTCTATGCAGTTTTTACAGACTGTCTGAAGACCTGGGTGTATCAGAAACACAAGGCAGCTTTGGCTTCGTCTCAGTTCATGTTTTAGGGTCTTCTTTCGCAATAACAAGAGAGGAAAAACTTTGTTTTTAATGGAAAGTTTAACTTGGAAAACAATTCTGCAGTAAGGCGAGATTGAATGGAAAATTCTGCAGCCAGACTTTATCTGCTTGCAACCCTCCCTTTCACAGAGCTGTTGCAGCTGCAGCAATTGTTTATGTAGAAAAGTAATAGTATAACACATTTAATGTAATTGTAGGTGGGAATTAATGCATATTATGAGCTAGAAATATGGAGGAGGCAGCATCATATTACAAAGCTTGCTGTCTTCAGACCTCCAGCAAGTACTCTGTGGACCACACTTTGGGAACTTTTGCTACCCCTTGTTCTATAAATTCTAGTACAGGATATGGGTTTTTTTTGATGCCTGAACAATCCATCTAGAATGTTGCAAAAATTTTGTTTCCATCAGAGAAAAAGTAGGCTAGCAGGGAGAGAAGAAGCCATAAAATTAAAGTATCTAACATGAGAATTAGAATGTGTATCAATGAAATTGTGATTAAAAATTGTACTCGGTCTAAGTAAAATTGCATGCAGCATAGCAAAATCTTTGGCCAGAATTTTAGTATTTTCCTCATAAGGCCTTCTCAAACACAGATACATATTCTGCATGAGTTTTAAGCTGCTATTTTAAAGCTATAACTAATAGAACCATAATCACTGAAATAGGAGTTATGTGGATTGGAGCATTTCAGCTGATGAGTAAACTGTTCCAATAAAGCTGGCATCTAGCCACTTTGGTATGTAATAGTGTTTTTTTATAAAGAATTGCCATAGTAACTGATCTGGATGACATTGAGAAGTTGGTCGCTGCTGACTGTTGGAAATGAAACAGACTTTTACCAGTACATGTGTAATGTCTGAAGGTAAAGTAACTCAAGATAAATGCTTGTGCTCCAGTGAGAGTGTTGCATGAGGCACATCAAGCCAAGGTCTGACTTAACGACTTATGAATTTAATCCTTCTGTGAAAGTGCTTCTGTACCATGAAAACAAAACCATAGACACAAGTGGGATTATAGTGACTTAAAATCTGAAAGTAAATGAAAATTGAGAGAATCTATTGTAGATTTAAATAAGTGTGATTTAGGCACAAAATTAGAATTTTCAACCAAACTTAGATGTTAATAGAAATATTTTCTAGGCATTTTGGGGGAATGGAGGAGAAAGGGATGTTTTGATTACTGAAAAGGGAAATCTAAGGTAAAACAACAACCTTGGTTGGAAAAAGAACCTAAATTTAATTTGATGATTGATCCATCTGAATAAAATACAAAAAGTGCATGGGGGGTACACATATGTATAAAAAAAATAAATATACTGAACGTCTCTGTTTAGCAAGAATTCCAATCTCTTTTCCTTATAAATGCAGCTACTTAGGATATCACTGATATCAATCATATATAAAAAATTATATATTAGTAGAAATAAAAAACCTGCAATAAGATTTACCGTATATTTCTTGGAAGGATTTGACAGTTAGAAACTAACAGATGAACCCAATTAAGATTTTTTTTTTTAAAGTCAGCTTCTAATTTTGTTTTGGGTAAAATAAGTAATATTTTCTGGTTACTATATTTACTACTGAAAGGCTTATCAAATCTTAGCTGAGGTTTTAAATAAATCTAGCAATGTAGTAGATTTCTTTGATGGAGTCAGGGAAGAGACGAAACCCATAGAGAAATTTTGCCTTATTTTTTCCAATTAAATTTTCTTATGTTGTAAAAGTAGTTGAAGCACTTATAAGGCCACCTTCTCAGGAAAAGCAAGATAATTTAGCAAACACACATGATGAGGAATTAAAGTAGGATACAATAGTTTTTCTACACATGACTGTATGTAGCATTCTAGGTGTCTCACCAAAACAAGTACTCTAGTAAGTATGAAGTTGTTGATGAATTTGCTGTCTCATAAGTTGCTTAATCAATTTTATATGCAAAAATATTGTATCTAAGATCTTGCTGCACAGTTAAAGGAAGGCTTTCTAAAAAAGTCCACTTAAGTTCAAAATTAACCGCTAAATTGGAGATTTAGACAGTCAAAGAAAATGGCAAACTAGTAAACAGTCTTTTCATTTTTAAGATAAAGATACAGACATCACTGTGAAGGATAATACCGATGATTTCTGCCTGCGAGATACATTGAGCATTGCATCAACAGACTCCTTTGTTTCAGCAGCTGAGGTAAGAGTCTGAAGGATTCTTTAACAATTCTAGAGTCTCTGTTTTTAATCAAAGTAAATAGAAGACTCCTAGTTACTCACTATTGTAAACTAAAAACACTAATAATTTTGTGCAGAAAATAAATTGCATATTACGTGAAAATGTATAACTGCAAATAACTTGCTAGTATTTTAAATAATGCAGTTAAAATCACATGTACATCTCACTTCTGAACTTAAAGTGCTCCCCCCCTTCTGCTATCTTATTTCCTGAATCCTTTTAAAAATGAATGCCATATAGTGTAAATAGCAGCCTTCCCTGGCTCTCCGGCTTTAACCACCTATAAAAATTCAGATTACTGAGGAAGCAAAATTAGGTGGGATCATACCAATCCATTTAACTATTAACTGCTTTTTTTCCTGTGCCACATTTCTATAATCAAAAGGCTTCTGGAAAAGAACATTCATTTGTGCAGTGAATTTTCTAAAACAGCTACCTGCTTTAGTAAGTTTTATTGGCACTACAGGGAGAATATATCATTAAAGTGGAATTGGCCCCCTTCAACGCTCTGTACAAGAAAATCAAAGGAGACTTAAAGAAGCCATTTGACCTTTGGTTGTTTGAATGTCACCTCTTAGCTCTAATTTGCTAATACTTCTTAATTAGTAATGAGAGGATATTCATAAAAAAAGATAGTTGCAGTTAATCACTTTTTACCTTCTCTCTCATTTTTATAATTCCCTGAGTTAACACTGAATGTTATTTTGAGGTACTTATGTTTAAAAGTTATTTCTAGCAAATAATGTCTACCAGACTAGTTGCCTTTCCTGTGATTTGGATTAGAACATTATCAAAGATCATTTCAGCTAAGTGAACTCTTGTCAGTTCTTGAGAGAGGCTACAGTACAAAATGTCCCTATATATCTTTTTTTCCTGAGCTTTTCCACTATTTATGCCAATTTACAGGAAGCAAGAGAATCTAGTCTGCTTTTTTGTATCTTCTTTTTAACAGGCAGGAATGCAGTGACTTGACAAGACTGATTTCAAGGGTATGTCACCTTTTGGGAAGATTTTTTTTTCTACTTTAAAATAATTTAATGTAGAAGAAAATTCAGTATCCACAATGTGGTGTCCTTGAAGTCACTAATGGTCATTTGATACCCTTCCTCCCAAAAGCACAGAAAATGGTACAAATTGAGCTGCCCAACTGGCACCCCTGGACTTCTACCCAGCCACTGCTCCCCACTTTGCTTCAGCTGCAGAAGCAGCTGGGGGCCCTGGGCTCCTCTCCCTCTGGCTTCCCCTTCTCCACCCCAGGGAGTGAGGTGGGGCAGCACAGCCTGCAGTGCTAGGGGAGCCTGGTGGGCCTAAGAGGCATGTTGCAGTGGGGCACCTTATGGCCAGGGATCTTAGGGCGAGGTGGGATGCCCAAGGGTGGGGCATACCAGGGCATTGGGCATACTTAGAAGGTAGACAGCCGTGGGACAAGTTCATTTGGGTAACCTACTAGATCTTGCATGAGGAATAAGTTTATTATTAAAAGAGGGACCCCTGAAGGGCAAGGGAACAACAAAAGTTCACAGGAACACATTTAAAAGTGTATTGGAATATATTTTGTTTCCTTGTAGTTGCTTCTGTGGGAATAAAGAGCAGGTTATACCCAAAGACTTCCTCTCTCCACATTCCAGTTGTAGAGTTTCTCTAAGTGGATGCAGGCTTTGGGGGAAGAAGCTACAACAGCTCTAGAAAAGACTAGCACCACAGGTCAAATGGTGTTTGATAATCTTGTTATGAGTCATCTTGACTTGTAAGTGGTCTTATAGTGAGAACCTTTGCATAGAAAAAGATAATAAAGGCATTTTGGTGTTTGAGTAACTGCAAAGTGTATTGACAGTATTTTTGCACTACATTAGAAATACCAGAATTTGCCGCCTTTTCACACATGTCCCGAAAGAAGACTGACAGTTTTTAAAGGGCCTAACATATTCCTGTTGTAGCTTGAAACTTGAGTTGCAGTATTTCCAGCTTCTAAGTGGGGGGAAGGGTTGTATAATCTTAAATTTAGGGCAGAGATAGCTCAGCTGCCATGCTACTGCAGTGATGTCTGCTGTTCTGCAGAGCTCTCTGGAAGAGATGATAGCTTAGGAACCTGAGGTTAGTGCTTTTTGAAGGGGAGGATGGTACAGTGGTACTTTGGAATATGGCACATTTAAGGGATGGGTGGAATTGCTTCCTTGCCTCTTAAAAGGAAAGTTTTGCAGAGGCTTAATAAGAAAACAACAAGCATATCTACCTTGTCCTAGAATGGTCTTGGGGAGAACCATACTGACATGAACTGTTTTCTACACATGTATTATCTCCTGAACTGAAAGTAGTTTAGCCAGTTTAGTATAGCTCTCCTGAAAGGCAGGTGCTCATACAGTACTGTACAAAGCCAAGTACTCTATCTATCATAGTCTGGGAGGTCATGAAGGCAGGGTGCATCTCAGGACAGCCCTCCCTTAGTTGCACACTGCGGTGGCATAGACCAGCTGTACTTTTGGTGGCTGAAACACTAATTTCCTGAAGAGCAAGCCCTTGGGAAGGGAAACAAGTCACACCACTGTACTACTATTCCATGTATTTCAGCTATTAGTAAAAACTGATCATGCAGAAAAAGCCGTGCTCTTTAAAGGAGCTGGAACAAAATTATAAGGCTCTACATCCTAGGTAGAGGCTGCACACTCAGTAGCAGATTGCTGAGCTACCCTTCCCCCTTGTTCCACTTTGCAAGACAAAGAAGAATATTTGGGAGAGGTCTAGGATGATGCATGGGGGAAGGGTCTCTCAGCTGTTACTTACTCTTCACCAGGCAAGGAACAAACTGTTCTTCTATCCTGTTCTTGGTGATCTTGATTACAATCTTACTAATTACCAGGGATCCTGGTTTTCTCAGTTTAAAAATTGCAAATTCTCTAATTAAAAAAAATCCCAAATCCGCATTTTTCCATGTTTAAAATGAAATGCTACTCTCTCTCTCTCTCTCTCTCTAGATAGAGATATAGATCTATAGAGATCTATATATAGATCTATCTGTGTATAGATATATATGATATCAGTTGAATACAATGTTTTATAGATATATTTACAAGTTAAAAGCGATTTAGAAGCCTACCAGTGCCTCAATCACCATAATAAATTCTAAATATCTATACATTTTGGCATTTGATTTTGGGTATTTTATCATGGAAAATCAGAGCTCTCCCTACCCCTTCACTCACCAGGACATGGGCCCAGTTGTGGTTGTCCCTCCCTGGTGCTTTGTAGCATTGAGCACCCCTGATATGCCCGTGCCCCTGCTGGTGCCCCTCACTCCTGACCCATAGTTCCCTGTCCTTGCTGATGCCCCTCACTCCAAACCTGCAGCCCCTAAGTCCTGCTTGTGCCCCTCACTTCTGACCCGCTGCCCATGCTCCCAGCATGTGAGACGGAGTGGGTATGTGGGGAAGGTGGGGAGGCATTGGAAGCATGTGCCCCCCAAGATTTCTCTACCTACAGTGGGGTGTAGGGTGCAGGGCTGCAGCCAGGCCAGACCAACTCTGAGCAGGAGCCACTTCTGTGGCTTGGCAAGCAGGAACCAGCGCTGGAGGGAGTGCTGTGCCACTATAGTGAGGTGCAGCAGTTGCAGTGGTGACAGTGGTGTAGAGTTGTGCACCCTGGTGCTGCTGGAAGGGCAGAGGGTATCTCACCTGGTGGTGATGGCGATGGAGGCAGCTCCTGCCTAGAACTGGTCTGGCCTGGGTAGAGTCCTGTGCCCCATTGTGGGACCAGAAATCTTGGGGGGCATGTGCCCCCCCACACCTGTGTGGCCTATGCCCTTCCCCTCACATGGCCTGTGCACCTGCCTGCCCCCACCCAACACGTGGCCTATGTCCCTTCCCCCCCTGTTCCCCTGCTGCCCGGCCTCATGGATTTACCTGCAGGGAGCTGCTCTCCACTGCTGCCTGGCTGCCATGTGCATGTGCACATGCATGCACATGCACGTGGTACTTCTGCCTGATCGCCGTCCTCTTCCCCCCCAGTTGTAAGTAGCCCTTTGCAGGCTGGAACTCCTCCAGCCTGCAAGGTGAAACCCATGGTTTCCCGTGTTTTTCTCCATAATACTGGAAAATCCGTGTTTTAGTCCATTACGTGGGAAAATCCACATCTTTCTCCATTAAAGGGAAAATGTGCAATTTTTGGCAGCAAACCAAAAACCTGGATCCCTGCTAATTACACTCAACTAGGTAGGCCACTGTTACAGGCATGTGTTAGAGGTGGAGAGTACTTTTCTTAGCTGCTATATATCTAGGAAAGCTATTGGCACCCTTTTTGAAATCTACAGCTTGGTCCATAGCTGATTGACTTGGTTTTAAGTTGGATTTAATTGATGTAAATAAACTGGCAATTATGTAGTACTGTATCTTATTACAATGTAGCTGGTGATTTGTTGTTGTGTGTTTTTTGGCAGTAATGTCACCTTTGCAGTAAATTAAATCATAGTAATATTTGTGTGATTGTGTTCGTGCTGCAGACCTTTTGGCAGCTCTCCAGCTTCCCTCTGACTGCACCCTGTTCCAACTGGCTGTTCTGATTACCTACATGCCTTGTGCTTCTCTGAGGTCACAAAGATCGAATGCCACATTCCTATCTAAAAGCTGGCACTGTCTATAATCATTTGTATGCTCCAAGAATCAGGCATTTTGTTCTAGCTTTGTGCCATGCTTCCAGCTGCAGCTGTCCTGAGACTCTGGATTTTCTGTTCTGGGGAGACAAAAACATACAGGAAGCCCTAGAATCCAGACATAGAAACCTAATTATATCTGAGGGAATTGGGGATAGCTGAGCAGGTTCAAAACCAGGCTGCCACGCTGTGCCACACTAAAACTAAAGGATATGAATATGGCGTATAAGGAATCTAAAGACAAACTGGACTTGAGCCACCTACCAATAACAAACTAGTCAGGATTTTGGCATGGGGCACTGTTCATCTTAGATATGGC